AATCTTCATGCCCATCAACATCCTTCTGATCTTCTCGTCTCCAGTGCAGCCAGCTGTGATACTGGAGGTAAAGGAAAAGCCAGGACCCAGAGCCTCAGAGATGCTTCACAAAACAGTGACCGTTGGCTGCAGCAGCCACAGGCCAAGTTGCCCCAGGAACTGAGCCAAAGGCACCAAAAAACAGCCACCCCGTTGCTCTTGACGGGTGCAGGAGGTCTTCTTGTGCGCAATGAACCACAGCGGTTTGGCAAACACCAGAGGGTCACTCAGCACAAATGTAAAAATGACAAAATGAAACAATAGGGCATTTTTGATACCGTCGGCTTTGTCAAAAATCCCACCTCTGCTGACAGATCTGTCGGGAGAAAGGTTTAAAGAGCAGCAGCGAGCCCAGGGCAGGGGAATTAGGCCGCAGCAAAGGCACAGATCCCTCCCGTGCGGGCACGAGGAGGGCCGAAGGAGAGCAGCTGTCTTGGGAAAGGTTTGATTTATCCAACAGCAGGAGCAAAACCATGACAAGATCTGAGCCTGCTTCACAACCCACACGGGTCCTACAGATGCAGCCATTTTTGCACTGGCAACTTTGGAGAACATCTTTTATGGGCCCTTCAAAAGAAACGAGCTGTTTTTCTCACTTTGGGGTCAGGTTTAAATATAGATACAGGGAAATGTTTCCAGTTCGCGCATCCCAGCGAGCTGAATGTGTGTTGGCCAGGCGAGTCTAGCAGGTGCCGAGTTTGGCAAAACTTCTCCTGATTTTAGCGACAACTAATTGAAATGCTGTGGCTCTCATCACAAACCCTGATTAGCTGTCAAGTCCCAATGAACACAAGGAATCCTTACCCTACTTCTATGCAGGAGTAAGTGGGAAAGCTACTGTCTGACAGGACACGGTCCAGCCATGCACGGGATGTGAAAAAACCCCAAAGCAAACAAAAACCCCTATGTAAGCAAGAGGAAAAGCATGTCAAAAAGTTAATTGGTTTTCTTTTTGCAGATCTCAATGATGGTGGTTGTGTCAGCTTTCTAGTTAACAGCATGTTTTAATACGTCCACTGCTCACATTTCAGAAAGCAGGGAACACCATGAACAACCTTGTCCCTGGGGAGAAAATGAGGACAGAATATTCCTTAGAAATGCAAAATGGAAAAGCTATGTTAAAAATAACTTCAGCAGCTCCAAGAAAGCTGTTGACAAACAATCAGTTTATCTAAATAAAATAGGGTTGTAAACCCAAACAATAGGGTTATCTAAGCAGGCGACAAAAGACTGCCCCAACCCAGACTAAGAATCACTCTGAAAGGATTCTCCAGAGTTTTTTTTCTTAGAGGGTCCCAGTACAGCACATAATGAAGCTTCATTAAATTTGGAAGACGCCAACCTTGATCTGGGGGCAGAAAAGGCCACTTATATTTTCCCCCTCTCAACAGCTGTTGACAAAATGCATACACTAAATGAAATGTATATATAATAAAGGAAACTACGCAAAAGGGGAAATAAAAATACTTGTGCTAATCCAGTTATTTAACAGCAAAAGCATGAGCAGCAGCAACCAAACTGTTCTCAGTTCAGTTAAAAAAATGAAGAGCCCCGAAGTGTTTAGATAGAGGGAACTGAGTGAAATGAATCCCCCTCAGCCAGGCTAAGAACAGGATTCAAGCAATTAGTGTCTGCACCAGCCAGCAGCCTGACAGGAAAACAATTTTGTGCAGAAACCAAACGGCCGAGAAACTGGAACATAATTTAGTAAAACAAATGAGACAGGGTAGGATTTCAGGGGACAGGATGCATTAGGAGCGCGTTGCAAGCGCTGCCTGTTTCCCATGCTGAACACTTTCAAGCATCCTTAAAAGATCGCTCACGCACACGTCTCCTCCTACCAAAGCGAGCGTGGCCGGTGCGCCGGGTCTCTCCCACAACATTCGCACGTGGGCTTCAAGGCTAGAAAGTTATCTCGAAGTGTGCACACAGGGATAACTTGTGAGCGCCTCATGGCGCTTTAAATAAGAGTAAAGAAAGGTAGTATTTTTAAAACCCAGCGCAATGACACGCTTATTCTTCCTAAAAATTTCTCAATGTGCAGGACAGGCTGCCAGCTCTGAAAATGCACCCTAGAAGAAATGATCACTCAAACTGCTTTCCTGCAGCCCCCTAAGTCACCCTGTCCCTCATGATGATGTTGGTCAGATTCCAGGCCTGGTAATCAGAACTGTATTGTGATGGACTCTTGTTATTTGAACTGCAAATATTTAATCAAATTTAATAAAATTGGACTGCACGATATGGTGGTTTTAAATTACAAACACAAAGCCAGAGTTTTGCCTGGTGCCAAAAATCTGAAAAGCTCACCCGCAATAAAGAACTTTATTTAGGATGGGCTCCAGCCTTCCCTGCCTTTTGTTTACACCAGACTGTTCAGGAGCCTTTCTTCTCCAAGCAACTTAACATTCTTGGCAATGGGATTTCTGCAGGATATCGCTATGCCAGAGACTGACGTGCTGTTGCGTTGAAAGGAAAATAAAAGAAAACAACAGAAAACAATTCTCCCCTGAACCTTTCAAGTGAACTCATTTGTATCACAGACCAGTCCCCAAAAGATTAATGCTGGTGCCCAGAAAGAACAAGCATCAGCGTTCTGGAGAAACCAAATCAGCTCGACATCTTCCTGTTTTAAAACAACAATGATTTTGGTTGCTTCCATTTTTAATAATGCGATTAGGTACATTTATCATCCTTAATACATCCTGTCCGACAGGGTTTTTATTCAGACAGAGTCTTATTGAGAGCTCAGTCTGGGAAGCAGCAAAGGGGTGAGATGTGCAGATGCTCTCCTTCTCCTGCAGAAATCCCTCTCCGTAACACTGGGAGCAAGAAGGGCGTCTGATCCTCAGACTCAATCTGACAAGTAACGTCCCCTAAAGTGATGGGCAAGGGAGGTTTTGGAGCACGTCAAAGCCCATTTATGCCGTGACGTTGCTGATCCATCAGAAATGGATCACCTGGCTCTGCAAGGTATAGGAAACGTCTACCTATCTCTCAGAATCACGCCGTCCACAGGCCCTGAGCGATAGGTATGGTGCCAACGGATGCCTCCCTGCATGGAAATGCTGCAATTTCCCAGAGGAGCCTGAAAGCCTTCAGCAGAAGAGAAGGGAACAGCAGCTACGCCTGCCAGCAGCCTGGCCTTGCGTTTCTCCTCCCAGGCAGATGCATACGCCGAGCACATCTTTGTGCTTCACCGGCCTTATTGCTGAAGGAAGTCTTTGAGGGCAGTCCTCCACCAGCGCTCACCTTCCCTACAAAAGAAAAACTCCTGAAGCCCAGAGAGTATCAGTTGCTGCTGCATCGTCAGTGCCCGGGATAGCCCGCCTGCTGCACCTAATGGGGTGTTCTAATTTTAGGGTCTTTCATTATCTAGAAGAGTTGATTAGAGGATGCCCTACCCTTCAGCAAATCCAGTTTTCTAAGCTCTGCTTTTGGAGTCCTCCAGAAAGGGCACAGTAAGAACTACCACCACCAAAGGTGAAGGGTGTGGTGTGCCCAGAAGGAAAAAAAAAAAACATCTCCTGGAGAGGGTTTTGCCAATTTTTGGTTGACTTCTTGTGCAACTGAAGTGTTTGGCACTTGTCACCCAGCCCATCATGCCTCCTGAAGGGGAAGACAATCTACTGCTGAGCAGCTGAGCACCCGTCCACAGATCCATCCAGAAGGCCAGGTGCCATGGTCCAGAATAAGAATCTCCCCAAAAGGTTTTTTAAGAACTAGGAGGCAGGAGGCACAAGGCAGCAGTGTGAAGATTATTTTTTCCCCATCAGATAGCAAAAGAAGAAAAAAAATCCTCAAGTTTACAGAGGTAACAAGAATTGTGTTAAACCATTCACTGCAACTCTGACCTTCCCTGCTTCTAACTACTGGGAGAATAAGTGCCATGAGAACACCTACATCCCTCCCAGAACGAAAAGAAGGGGCTGCCAGCTCTTGGGAACTGATTTAGAGCAGCCAATTTGAGCAAAGACTGCAGTAAATCCACAGGGAGATTTGGTTAATGCACTGTCATCGTTCCTTATTGCAAGGACGGCACACTTTTTGACTACTGGTGCCCATTCCTCCACATTTGAAGATCCATAAAACATACCCGAGAAATAGCGAGGCAGCGCCTCCAGAAGGTGTGAAGTTCAGCCATACCCCTGCTTCCTCTTACCTCCATGCTCCATCTTTTCAGAAAAGCTTTTTTTCCTGCAGTGATTTCCACCATGCAGCCTTGTCTGCACCATGCACGTGAGCAGTGTCGCTCCCCCACTCAGGACGAGCTCACGGAAGCTCAGCTGTTCCCCGAAGGAAGCAGCTGAGGAGCACGAGCTGGCCAGGTTAGAAGCTGAGGCTGTGTTGGCTTAGGCACGCAGTATGGAGCTGAGGACCACAGCCAACCAAAACAACCTGGTTTACATAATATATAGTTGAGAAATAACTGACCTGCTTAGCCACTGTGCAGGCAAAAACCTAACTGAGAAATAACTGTCTAGGTGTGAACCAAAACCCTTGCAGGAAGTCCCAACGCTTTGACTGGCAGAAACATTTTTATTTATTTTAAGTATAAACTTGTATATAAAATGCAAATCCCAGAAGAAATGAACTTTTCTTGGTACTTTTCTCACTCAGCAAAACATACTTCGACTTCAGACACCCAGATCTCTGTATTAGCTTTGACTTTGTGAAAACATCTCACAAACTTTGACACACAACTCCGCTGTCTCCTGCCTGCAGCTTTGCAAGCTTGCACACCCAAAGCACCTCCAGCCTCCCCCTAACACTGCGCGCACAGTGACAGATGAAGGGGGAGCAGGATGGAGTGGGTGCTTGTTAAATAAATCACCCCATGAAATGCAGCTTTTCGGTAACATACCTAAAAAAAAAAAAAAATAAAAAAAATAAAAAAAATAAGAGGACCAAGTGTCACAGCAAAGACAGTAGGCAACACAGAAAATCAACGTGAGCGGTACCTGTTTTTCTGAGTGGGAAGTCATCTTTGGAATCATACATCCCCAGTACAGGGTGATTGTAGGTGCCGGATACGCCACTTTGGGGTGGGGAGCTCTGGTCCAGAGAGCTGTGCTGTGTCTTCCTGCACGAAAGGAAAGAGAATGGAGACGCACTTTACACCGGTGACACACAAAGGGAACAGGTGCAGCTTCACCTCATCTGTTATCTTAGTGATGATCAGTGCAAAGAAAAAGATCTTGGTACTAGCTTTCTCCTCCTACGTACTCATACAAAAAAGACACTAAAGTCGAATAGACAGGGAGGTAAATAAACATGCTTAATTTTCAGTATAAGAATTACCCCGTTGAGCATGGCTCAACTCATGAAAGTATTTAACCATGAGTATAATTTTAAACACGTACTCGGGCTGGGTTTTGATAAGTCATATCCCTGAAGCTAAGCATGGGTGTCATTACTCCCCTCAGCCGCAGCACAAATGAACAATTTCCCTTCACTGAATAAAACCCAGACATAGTAGACAAAGCCTAAGGATGAAACAAAACTGAAGGACGAACACATTAGGTGCCACACGTTTAAATTGGCTAACAGCAGCCATGCTGCATAGGTGGTCTTCTGCCTTTTGCTTCTCTGCCTCCCGACCCAAGTACTTCGCAGAGATAGGGCCAAAGCACTCAACACCTTTCCAGATTAACTTCTCGAAGCTGATAATTTATAGCTTTGTTTGAGCAGGCTGCTGGAAGTAAATTACAGTCTGTTTGCTAAGGATATTAAATAATGAATGAGTTTTCTAAGCCTCCTACCCGTTTGTTGGCTGCATCTTTCCTACTTAATGACTTGTGCCCAGCCTTGCTGTTTCTCAGGAGCTCTACCACCCCGATCAGTACAGACTTTGGGAAGTCTCCACACTCTGCATGTTAGCAGAGTAGCTACATCAACAGAATGACTGATTTAGCCATACGGGTAACAGCCACACAGCTATCCAAAAATCTTACCCTTTAAACCTAAATAACCAGAAATTCAACCCTGTATTGCCTCTTCAAAATGCTAAAGAATATGGGAAAACAGAACGCGAGCACTTTGTCAAAAGAAGTGAATATTTGAAATTTTACCAGGCATTCTTGGAGACCTTGGTTAAAAATATTCTCCTACAAAAGGTTCTTTAAGGAAACAAAATGAGCCATTCCCAGTTGAAAATTACACCAATTCATCCAGTTCCTTGAGTAGTATGTTTTGAAAGCTCAAATCAGAAGTAGGCTGTTTGGTGAGACACATAACATCAATCCCACTACGAGTTATACCCTTCAAAAAATAAGGGGGGCTAATGAAACGTCAGGAAGATGCATCAAATTTTCTCCATGATTTTGTTACAAATAAACCTCTGAAAAGTTTATTTGAACATCTACATCAAAATCTTCTATACCCACAGTTCTTACCAAGCAGTGTGATTCACTGTGGTTGCCTAATCCTCCCCCCTTTATATTCCAAGCTTCTCTGTACATACAGGCAGAATAATTTTTCAGGCTCTTACACGGTTGTATTTTTCATTAGCATTTGCGCACATCGTGTACTCTTTTACATTCGCACCAATAAATGCCCACATGCACGCAGTTTAATCATCACCTGAAATCAAAACAGAACCAAACTGAAAAATATTTGAATCCCTCCTGAAAACAGAAGTTGCTTTCTCTGCCCAGATCTGTTCATACCATGGGAAGGCAGCACAGAGAGATGTTTCACAAACAGGAAGCCTGGACGCTGCAAGCCAAGAGCCCTCAAACCCATCGTGTCACACAATGACATTTTTTGCTCTTGCCTACACAAGTAATAGACTTTTCTTTCTCCTTTTTTTTTTTTTTTTTTTTTTTTCGATCATGACTTAAGCTGCACAATCACATACATTGAAGCTATTTTCATCACTTTGTTAGGGAATGCGCAGGAACTCAAAGCGCCTGTTTAGATGTGCTTTGGGGTTGCTGAATGACAGATCTTTAACTCTGCAAACAGGAATGCATTATACGGCTCGCGGACTGGGATCCAACACCCTACGCTGCTTCGAGCAGAATGCACCGGTCTGCATGCCTGCCCAAGAATTTCAGAGCTCTTGAAAGAGATCAGATCGCAGACTAAATTGAGTTTTCAGGCATTCCTGAAAGCACATACCTTCACATAACGCACTCCCTGTTCTTTGAGCTCTGAGGTCCTTCAAAAGCCCATGTGCACAGCGAAGCATACATGACGCTTCGAACATATTCATGCAGTGTAAACTGAATATATATTCAAGCACACTGTGTTAGAACTTTTTGTGTACAGAGACTGTAGACACCCGGGTACACTGGAATAATTGAATGGATAATTGTATCTCTCTACATCCTTACCATGCAAATACTCGGTTAAACTCCCTTTCATCATTGCTACTGCATTGAGTGGCTACTTCCTAAGCGCATTTCTGACGACTTCCTAGGGAAATAACAGCCCTGTTTGCTAAGCTCAAGGTGCTTTGTCTGTGTTCCTGTTAAGCCACTCTTACTTATGTTGTATCTTGAGGAGCAAAACCTCCTGGGAGCAGGGCTGTCCAGTGGGTTCAGGATCCACAGGAGGGACAATCTGACAATCAAATTCAGAAGAACCTCTTTTGTCATTGCCTATCATCAACGTAATCTAAAAATTATAGTCCACAAAGCTTTTTTAAACAATTACATACAGACTGAAGCTCTATATATCAGAGTTTACAATGTGGTTTGAATTACCATGGAGCTGAGGACTGAGCAAGACCTCTGTGAAAGCCCCCAACATTACTGAGCATTACCAAGTTCTTTTCTTTCATTTAGTAGATCCTTTGGACTCCCGACTATATTCTGCAAAACCTCTAAAACTGGTCCCTTTTCACCTCAAGGGTTGATCCGCACGTGCGTGTGCGACAATGACCCTTTAACACCAGTGATTAATCAGAAAATATTTAGTAACTATAAACACTCAACGTTGCACCAGCAACCGACAGTGTTGATGTTCAAACAGATACAAGGTACTGAAGGCAAAAAGCACCCGGACATCTCAGTGGACAACTGAAGCCTGGCCCAAAGGGCCAGGGGATCGACAGCTATTTCACACGTCAGCAGAACACGTTTCATGTCACAGCCGTTGACGTAGAACTGCTGCGGTGCTCAATACCCTTAGGAGATCTGTTTTTTCCAAGTAACGCTTTCAATTTTTTTAAAGAGGAATTCACAAACCTTAATAAGACCAAAGGAAGTGCTTAAAAGCAGGCGTGTCATTTAAAAGACTATTTCAGCATCTGTTACCATTTAATTGGCTTGCCTGCTCACAGTAGGAGCATCAAGTCTATCTTCTGCAAGCCTCATTTGTGTGTGCTAAATCCAAACACCACCCAATTGAATCACATTAGAAGTATGTGTGTACATAAATAACTTTATAACTGAGCTGGTAACCTATGAGATGCCATATAAATAAACAGTAATATGTAATTAATTTAAAGGTTTTCTCTTTTTTTTAAAAAATATTTTTAAAATAGAACGGAACCGAAAAATGTTCAACTTCTGCCTTAACAACTCCAGGGGGCATTTAAAAATCCTCCACTGCAAGATAAGACACTACCTTCACGCAGGCCTGCTGCCATCTGCCCTCCTCAAAGGCTGAGCGGCACAAGCTCCTGCCTGCCTGCAACTTATCACTGAGACAGACCCTTAGAAAGATTTGTGAGGCCTTGGAGGCTCCTTCTTCCCTCTTCACATCTTGTGTTGGAAACCAGGATACTGATCCTCTTCCCACCACAAAACAGATGGAGGGAAGATGAGGGGATGGCGAGCCCGTTAAATCCACAAGAAATAGGACAACCCCCTGCGCAACAGTCTGTATGTTGTTGGCATCACAGGGAACCTAAACAATATATTGGTGCTCGGAAAGTTCTCAGCATTAGCTTAAAACAAGGCAAGGAGCACAGCGAAACCGTAAACATGACTTGGGTAACTAACCCCCCTGCATCACCCCCTGCCCTGCAACATACAGGGGTATTACACACCGCTGCCCTTCAGTTCACCTCCATATTATGGATTCTTGGTGAAAAAGCAGTTAATTGAAAACTGTGCAAAACATAAGGAATTCAGAAAACTCCCAAATCTATTTTTCTCTCTTCTAAATTCACCTGCGATGGCAATTCTATGCCAGGTTTCTTCAAGGCCAAAGGACCAAAGGGTTTGGCAGAAAGCACTTATTTACTATCCTTAATTCTAATTGACTTGATACCACTTCTGCATTACCAGGCATTTTAACCAACTGGGAAAAAAAATGGAGAACGCGGTGGCTCAAAGGCTGCAGCCACCTTTAATAAAATCCCCAGATTTCTTGGTCTCAGTTAAACACCGTGGAAAAATCAGTTATCTGCAAAAGATATTTATGTCGTCTTGACTGAAATTCAGTTTCTCCTATTTCTTCTACTATCCTTGATACCAACCTAATGGGCCTTAAATATTATCTTTGCATAAACTAACAACATTTCACTACTTTAACCAGTGCCATAACCGTACAATTTTCAAGTCTCAGGTCAGATTTTCAGAGATGTATTAAAACTGCTCCATCTCACCCTACTGGAATAATGTTTGAATTTTTCTGCCAACTACACTTCAGCATTTCTGTACTGGCTCATAGCTGGGATATCTTTCAAATTTAATTTCAGCATACTTTCTCGAATTTGGAAACACCTTCTGGCTATGACCTCATCAACCCTGTACACATGCTAATTTCTTAAATCTTAAATTATTGTCAGACACTTGGCTTGAACACAAATTTCATAGCAAAATTTCTTTGACTTCTGTCATTCAAAATTTCATGAATTTTATGGACACTAAAGATAAAATCCAAAATGCTATTTTCTTTTTTTTTTTTTTTTAATTCTTCCCCAATATTCCCAATGCTAGAGTAGTGGAAGTTTCCAAATCATCTCAAATTTTCTCATTTCCTTTTTATACAACAAAGAAGTGAATTTCTGGAACTTTAACTTGCACTTTGTTAATAACGCCATCATTTATATTTACTGTTTGGTGCACTTGAACTAACTGAATAAGTCCCTCTTTGCTCCCATGTCATTGTAACACCAGCTGTTACCTCCTCTACCCACAAGACATTTAGGTTTTCTTGGACACCAACAGCTGAAAATGTAGATGTTGGGGCAGTTGCAATTAGAAGTACAAACAAGTTACACTTGATGTTTCCAGCAGTTTACAGAGAACCACCAAGCAAACAAAACTTCCAACTTTCAGAGGTGAAGATGAGCAGTAAGCATTGCTTTAAAAATGTAACGCTAGTTCAACTATCCTGAGCTGCAACTCACTAAACATAAAAAATAATTTCCCCGTTTTACTGAAGTTCAAGTTTTATAACACCTGGCAGGACAAAATCCTGGATGAAAAGCCAGAGAACTTACAAAGGTTGATCTTGATGGTAGAACTCATGAGTTTGAATAATCGTGGATTAAAGATGACAGCAAAGAACTCTACTCAGAAAAACAATGAGAGCATCGCGGAAAATAGGAAAATTATTCACACTGAAACCCTCTGGGAAAATGCATTTGGGAAATGGACAGCAAAGTCAAACTCTGCTTCTAACACTGTTCTGGTTTATCCAGAAAACACATCAAGGTCTATTCCCCACACCTCCAGCAATTGTGAAAAAAGGTGGCACCGGCTGAATCGTAAAGATAAGCCCAGTACCACTTACCCGTACCAGAAGCGAGGGTCGCTGGATATACAGTGGTTGAGATTCCGGTGTGCCAATGCCTTCTTCTTATTTAAGACAAATTCTTGTAATTTCATCTTTACTTCTGTGCTTGCCACTGCACCTGAAATGTCAAACATAAAAAAGGATATTTAATCAATTCACATCCTTTAAAGAATTTAAATTTCTAAAAAGATTCAGAATTAAATCTTTGATTTCCAGTCCAAAAGAAGAGCTTTTCTTTCAAAGAGAAAAGAACAAAGCGCCTCCAATAAGGAGTGCTCTTTTATTTTTTTTTTTTGCCTTTAGCTTTGCATATAATCACAACTTATGTTTGAAAACAGAGATTTAATCAGAGATTTATCATTTCACTATAAAAGATTTCTGAAGAGGATTTTTACACTTGCATAAAAGTACACTTAGAATAAAGCACTTGTACTAGGTATTCCAGCTTTCTTTTAATCAAAGGTATTTCAGAAAAAGGGTCTTGTGTACACTCAAGTTTTTAAATGTCACATCTGCAAGCAGAAGGGGAATGAAACGAATGTCTCATATGTAGATTTTGTCTTGAAAACTCTTGTAAATAGGGACCTCTTTGTTCAAAAATATCTGTGTACAATAAGACCTACATAATATTCCAATTCATTTACAAGTGTGCAATCTATTTCTTCAAATAGAAAATCTAACATTTAAAGAAGAAAGTCAGTAATTTTGTAGCATAGAGTTAAAATGTCAACTGTGTAATTTCTAATCATTATTTCCTCCACAATAGAGACCAGTCTGTTTTACTGCGATGATGGATTAGAATTATCATTCGGTTGACAGAACAGATTCGCAGGCAGAGTTCCTGATGGAGTAATGCATAGGAAGTTTGGCAAGCAGAACATGTGGAAAATGACGGTTCATCTATACCGTGGCGTAAAGCAAGAATTCCAAGGGAAAATATCTGGGCTGCAAGAAGATGAAAAGGCCAGGAAAACTGTCTGCTCTACTGGGAATAAAAACTTAAAATACGACAAGGTGATCTTTTGTCTCCTGGATCATACTCAGCAATGACATTTGACAGGTTGGGGAAACGGTTTTTTGTATCTTCCCCAAGCAAAGAAAACCGCAGTATTTCTATAAAGCACTGTCTGAAGATGTAAGAGTGTTCAACCACTGAAGTCGCCTTCAAAAGCTTGAAAATTTACCTTTTTGGAGCCCTGCCTTTCTCACTAGCTCTACAAACGTAGGGTTGGCATGTAGCCCAACAGGAAGTTCAGCTGAGGAGCTGGAGATAAATTTGTGTGAGTGTAGCAAGCTACACAGCTAGACCAGAACAGGTGACAAATTCATGCTTAAAGGCCTTCCCACTCCAAAAACTGTCATCTTTAATCTAATTGCATTTTTAAAATAATCAAACATGGCTGTGTTCTGTCAGTTTTGGATAAATATGACATTATTTAGAAGACTTGAAGCTAAACATTTTTGAATCCTGAGGTTTACAAAAGCTCCCCTGGTATGTCCTCCTCCTTAATTAGTAGCTGAAAGGCCTCATATACACTTAACAAGATAAAAACCTGTAGGCTTCTCCTTCCCTGGGCATCATCGGAGCCATGGACCAAGCTGTCATGCAAGACCTTTACTCAGCTCTCGACCCTTGAAAGACTGAAAGTTGAAAGATTACAAGAAAAAAACCCATCTAACTCACTTTTAATATAGTATGTTGGGTTATTTTGGACCCAGTCACATTGTTACAGGCAGAAGCACTGTGCAATATCCTGTAAAGATGTTAAAGAGGGCTCCAAGGGCAGAAAGGGACAACCTGTCACAAACGCGACAGAATGTCCCGTGCAGGGGCGTAAGCGAAGAGGACGAGAGCAGAAGGCAGACATCAAAAGCCCGTACACACAGAATAAGTCCACGGGCAGGAAGCAAGACACTGGACCCCCATGGAAGCAAAAGGCACGGCAGAGTAAAAGGAGGATGAGAGAGAAGGAACGGGAGAGCAAGAGCCCACGCAGCAGCCCTGGCTGGGGGAGCAGCTGTGCACGGTGGGGAAAACCAAGCTGAGGAGCTGGCCTATTGATTTCGGAGGGCCTGAGTGATTGGGAGGAGAGGGGAGCAAGGAGCAGATCAACTGATAAGACTGCAAACCCGAGAGAGCCACAATGAGCAAAGCACTGCAGACGGGATGGCTCTGAAGAGCCAAAAGACTGAGCAAGGTTACTGCCGCAGAGACAAAACCAAGTTATATATTGTCCCAGGGTCAAACAGTATCCAAATATAGGATAAGGCAGGGGTGATGCGGAGAGGGTGAGGGAGGGCAGAAGCAGGCCCAGGCTCTCACGGAAGGAGGAGGTTGTACAACACAAGAGCAGAGGAGCAGAACAAATGGAAATGAACGGGAGAAAGCCCTTAATTATAGTGTGGGCTGATCGCAGCTGGCCAACTTGCAGGAGAAAGTCCAAGACAAGTCACGATCTGAGGCCGCCTGAGCAGCAAGGGATTGAATGGCCCATGCCCAGAAGTGTCTGAAGACACCGGTGCACTGGGCTGGTCCTAGGTTCAATCCTAACAGTGGAAAGACAGGATGACTATCGCTCCTTATCCTGCACAACAGCCATCTCTACTCTCGTATATATTTTCCTTCCTTTCGCAGAAGTCATGCTTTTGATCAAAAGTTTTACGATAGCAGGTATCAGTTCATGAGGGACAGGTTAAGGCTCCCAAGATGAGAACCCAAGGAGCTGATATTGTGTTAAGCTAAACTGATTTGCGATTTGTCTTCTGAAAGGTACAAAACAGTGTATTTTGGCTTACAGTGATGGAGGAAGGAAGAAGAATAAACTACACATCTGTTAAGCAGTCTTCATATTTCAGATCAGGACAATTTTAGCTGTGTTACGCTTAGCAAAATTTTCTGATGTGAGAAAAATAACTTAAGTATTCTTAAGAGCTGAGCTGCTATAATGATTATACACCATAGTACTTCTTAAATAAAAAGTAATTTAAAAATAAAACTGTAGCCATGGGAACAGGATCTTCAACTTAACGTTCCCAAATTCTGTTCTTTCCCTCTACACCTATGTGCTTCATTCAAAAGGCGCTTCGATGCTTTTGCTATTTTTCAGAGATTCAGGCATTTTTATTTATTTGCAAATTACTTTAGTGAGAATAACCAGATATTGATTTTGCAGAGACACCCAGCAAAACACTGACACAATATCAAAAGCAGATGAGAACAGCAGGGTGAAGTGGAAACGCTTATAGCTTTCATCCACTTCGAACTCACTGCCTTTACTTTGGAAAAACAACACAAAGCTGCCAGAGGAAAATGGAAAGCATTGCACGTGGTAGCCAACCAGGCACCAAAGTAGCAAACCTGCAAACCTTTACTCACTCTTGAATGTTGAACTGGTTCTTTTAAGTAGATTCTGATCCTTTGGTCCTTCCAGCATTGAAAATGAACGAAACCCAAACCAAGCACACACAGACACGTTGGACCTCCTATGAACTGCTCTGCGAAGATACTGAGGCAGGCCTGTGCGTTCCCCCACTGTGGTTGCAGCTTAAAGCTTGCTGTTGCAAGATGCACATGCAGGGTGTGGGGAATACAACCTTCAGATAATTTTTTTTAGTCTCCTAGACCCCAGTCCTTTCCTACTAGAAAAACTGTTCCTGGGGCTTTATCTTGTTCCTCGTCCCAGAGAGCATCCCATCTCCTGGCACTCTTCAGCCCTCTCCGCTTCTTCCATCACAGGCTTCTTTATTTCGTTTGAAATGAAGACCTAACGAGTTGATAGTACAACTTGGCGAGGTATTTTTCCTCCCATTCACTTCTAAAAGAAAACTGAACAAGCAACCAAAGTGTCTTTGATAAGGGAAATTGTGAGGCCATAATCACTTTACTGAATCTTATGAAGTGCATAATGACACGTGGGAAAGCCAACCACAATCTGTAACCTCATGAAAGAAGTACTTTCTGAATGAAAACACTTTAAAGCTAAGAACTGAGAACTCGGCTACGTCTTAAAAGAGTGAAATTAAGAAAAGTAAAAGAAAAAGAAATGCAGTGTGCATCTGGTGTATTTTATGGGCTTAATATTCTGCCTCCATTAGGAATGCTGCCAAAAATACTTCAAAAAACGTTAAATCAAGTAAAGAGACGATACGCTTCCTTTTGAAAAACGCTAAAATGGCATTTAGTAAGACAAAAATGAAGATAAAGCATAGAAATACATTCCTCTCTTACCCTCAATACCTCTTAACATTTTACATAAGCTCCCTGTGCAGCCGAGCTCTGTAGAGAGGTTATCTTGAAGGTTTCTCCAGCTTTATAAAGCTGCTTTATGGCTTCCATTCATCTGCTCTACCTGTCATCACTGAAACAAGGGAGTTTTCACTACTTACTCTCTTTTCCTTTCTCTTTGTTTTTTAGCTGCTGAAGTTTCTGCTCTCGGTGCTGCTTCTCCAGCTCCTGCTCCTGTCGGTGCTGCTCCAACTTCCTCTGGTGCTCCAACAGTTCCTGCTGATGCTTCATTGCCAGCATCTCCTGCTGCTGCTGCGGAGAAGGAATGAGGGGAAAAAGAGCAAATTAGCACCGTCAGACTTCCCAGAGCTAAACCAGAAGCTGCTATCAGGTGACAATAATGCTGCTTAACTCATCGAAACAAGGAAAACGGCATATTTTCTTCATCTAGAGGCTCCTGCACCACGACTCACTTCACGTAGCCCCACTTTTAGTTCAGGACAGCTCTTATGCCAAACCATAGGCACTGCACGCTCCAGGCTTCAGGGCACGCTCTGTTTATAAGCACAAGAATCCTATTCAGAAAGCACCCAATTTGAGAAAGTGACAAAAAGCTTCCACCCAAATAGGTGCTTCCCCAAGCACTTTGCCGTGGCAGAAGCGTGTGGCTCGATCCCCACGGCGGCTCCACGAGCCATCGGCTGCCACCGCTGCCCTGCCGGAGCCTGCGCCGAGCCAGCGCAAGCCACAGCTCCAGCTGGGTCTTCATTTTCTCTCCATCATCTGTTTTAAGTAAAACCCCATTAGGACGCTTTAATTACAAATGCTCCTAATGTTCATCACGTACAAGCCCCACGCCGAAGGAGAACTGTTGAGCTCACTGAGTCAGGCACTTGCAGCAAAATATGCCGTCAGCAGTGCAGGCTTTGCAAGAACAGTTCAGTTCCCTTGCACATGTTTTGTTTTGTTTTTTTTTAACAAGCCTTTAATTATATGACTTTGCACTCTTCTTTCTCCAACAGTCCTTTTCTCTCTCTGTGTATATAGAGGTTTTTCCATGGACTGGGACAAATATATCCTTTTAACTTCATTAAGTGCCGGTCACTTCCCGTCTGCCTTGCAAACCTCACACCCCAAGCTAAGTGCAGAAGCACTAGTTGCCTTGTGGGCATGATAACCAACTAAGCCTCATTACAAAAGAATTGGCTGAATTTTTTTTTTTTTTTTAATATATAGCGAATAATCTCTCAAGGCAGGATTCATCCCAGCCCTCTCGACTTGCATGCATTCATGGGAAGGACCAAGAGACAGGCTGCCTAATTAAGGTCAAGATTTGCAAAGCTTTCATCAAACGGGATGTTCAAGACTTGAAGCACCAAAGGCTCCTGCCCCTGTCCACTGTGCAAGTTCCCCGCTTTGGTCTCCAAATCCCAGCACCTGGAAGACGTGCATGGACACACCAACCTCCTGGGAAATATGGGGTGGGTCTCCCCAGCCCAGAGCTTCCTTTTGGGGTCCGAGGGGGATTCCCCCCAGGGATTGGAGGTGGCGGTGTGATCCGCCGGGCCCCGGGGGGGGTACCTGTCAGTGGTCAGAGAACACCCGGCGTCTTGACAGCCGGCCAGGAGCAAGCCAGGCTGTGGCAAAGCAGATGACAACCGACAAGCCCCAGCAGCTTGGAGCTTGGCTAGGTGTGAATGGATCTCCACGGGGCTTGTTAAAGGCACCTCCCCTCGCACAGGGCTTCTCCCCCGAGTTCCACTGAAAATTGCTTTTTCTTAAAAAAAAAAAAAAAAAACAAATAAAGCTCGGAGTAAGATTAACCACCTCCCAGTTTCATTTGCACCCTCTCCAGCAAGACCCATGCTAAAGCCAACTACTTGGGCTGCTCCGATTAATCTTGCAAACTCCCCCGAAGGCAGCAGCACACCGGCTCCCCCCCGCCCCCGTCGCCTTGCGCCTGCCCCTCCGGCTCTTTACGTTGGCAGCTTATAAACTAGCAGATTGATGTGAAGCTGGCAAACCTTAACCTTCAAAACCCTTACCGCTCTGCCGATGGACGAGACTTCTCCGAGACTGGACTTAATGGGTGCCTGTGCTCGGATACCACCCACTGCTCCAGCTTCACAAAATCCTCTGTGTGGAGAGGCACCAGGGCAAGCCACGGCGACTGCGACAGGGAACCTGCTCCCTCCACCCTGCTCCAAACCCCAGCAGCATGCGCGCACGCAAGACTCTCCCACCCCACGTACACTGATTTCTCCTTCTCCTTTTGCACGTTTTTCTATTTATGCTTTTGACAGCAATTTCCTATTTTGATTTGCGGTATGATATATATTTGTACCATCCGATGCTTCAGCCGCGGATACACTATAGACGATACACATAAAATTATACCATTCTATATAAAGATGCAAAAAAATAATGTAAGAGGTACTTTACAATCTGCCTGGCTATCTGCTGGAAACTCTTGATGGAGGAGTCCCTGCTGCTGCCGGTTCCAAGCAGGCAGACTGTTGTAAAACACCGAACCCCAGTTAGCAGAATTTGCGGTGATTGCACCTATGTTTCCCTTCCTAATTCTATTGAATTTTATGTAAACAACAAAAAATCCAGACTCTAAAAACCTACAAAAGAAAAAACACACACAAAAAAAAAAAACTAGAGAAAACTAGTTATTTTTGTTTTATAATTAAGCAGCAGCTTCCACTAACACATCTCCATTTGGAGAAAGAGTATCTTTTCAGACTTCCAACAAGTCCACCACATGGTGGGCTTTTATAACCTAGCCATAGAAAGTATGCAAATGAACAATATTTAATGCACAATATGTTAAAACAGGTTTTGTTATTTTTATGAAATCAGGAGCCTTTTCTCTCCATCTGCAGTCTCCTAAGCTTTGCATGCTATGCTTCCTGCAATGGTTTACATACATTAGGATGCTTTAGAAGGAACTGTGCTTTCATTGACATCTGTAGTGAAATGTAAATGAAAAGACCAATTTGTATCTGGATGGCTTATAGAAGTTTCATTAGAGATATATTGTTTCCGCTGATTCTGACCCTAGTTTCCACAAAGCCTATTCTTAATATAGTTTTCAAATCTTTTCAAAGTTGAAAAAATAAAAATTAAAAAAAAAAGAAAAATAATGAAGCAACCTCTCCAATCGTACCCATGAAAAGCGAAAAGAAATCACTTTGTTGGTGTCTGTCACAGCCTCTGAAAACCACTGAAGAAAACCTATTTGCGTGCTCTGTCTGAACCGCCGTGTCTTCTTACGGCATGAATATTTCTCCACACTGAGGGCTGAAAACAAACCCCACAGACAGTATTTGACAGGAAATAGATGGTGCAGGCTCAGCAAAACACAGGGGCGCTGGCGATGCAGCGCTCTTACCAGCTCAGGCAATCACCGCTGCGCAGATTGCACCCAGCTTCCAGGGACCTCGGACCAGGATTTGGGGTGCTGACCCAAGGTGATGCTTGCATCGCTCATCCTTGCTGCTACTGATACCCATCTTGTTACAACAGAGCCAGAGGGAATATAATTATCACATTAAACCATAGTTTTCCATGCAAAAAGGCCCTTCTTAGCTTCAAAACCATAAAGCTTGAAAACTCAACTGATTCTAGACTGTGGCCCAATTTTATATTTGGGGGGGCTTGCAATTTAATTTTCTTATTTAAAAATGTTTGTTTTTTTGTTTTTTTGTTTTTTTTTTTTCTGCTGATGCTTTGTGAAAGAAGACCCATAAGCAGCAAGAGAACCCACCACCGACTAACATGAGAAGCAGGAAATCTGCTAACATACAACAGCTGTCCCATGAACAAATAAAACCGAAACTTTGGGAAAATACGAGCTTCTGCTTCAGTTAAAGCCATCAAGGCAAATTTGAACAGGTAGCGAGGATTCAGACCCACGTATGGCCAACTGCAGTGCAGTCTTACCCTTCTGCAACGCCACGCACTGAACTACTTCTGCCAAGGTAACAGCCACACGCTGGGGGCTTGGGCTGGCATCTAACCTTCTCTTGACCATCTCGGAGGGGGAAAAGAAAACCTACAGGCAAAATTTGACAGAGCTGTGTTTCAGTGGGACACGGCTTCCCACGCTTGAGTCTTTTGGAAAGTGCCTGAGCTAGGAATTCATAAGTGTCTCTTGAACTGCAATTCACGGCATACCAAGAGACGCTTAGGTGGCTCTGATAAGGATTATTAATTACGGAGCGAGATCGTGCTCACGTACCACACAATACATTAGAACTCTCTTGCTGGCAAATGAATCAACGCAGACTCCACAACACCCGTGTGTTAATTGCGCGTAGCTGGAGCGGTGTGTTTTTTCCCCCAGCTGTAATGAAATTTAAGTATCTGAGAAATACAAAGTGATACACCAAGGGAAATCCCTTCCATTCAGACTAATTCAACTATCAATTTGAGGACCATATCGTGTGACAAACATGCACACTGCATTAGGGAGTGCAGCTAGGAACATCTGAATTAGGTGCTCTTGCCAAAATAAATATTTGTAAATATTTATAACTACGGGGATTCCTGCATATGTTTAATGTCACTGCTTCCGCTATTTATGAAAACTGCACAAATGTTCAACTGTACCTGTAGTTAGTGTTGCTGGTGCTCCTTTAGCATATATTAATATTAATAAATGTAATAAGGAGAATGTAGAGTATTTCCAGGTATTTATCAACTGTCAGCTATCCCTGAGGACTCGGTGGTGCAGTGGAATTTGCCATCACATTCCTCAACTGTCTTCAGTTCTCGAGCATGTCTACCTAGAACAGCACTGACACCTTATCAGTAAGCACACTGTCAACTTCCACTGCACGAAGAAACCTCTTTTTAAGCAAAAGGCAGCTAAAATGATTTCCTTTAGTTCTTATAATAGAAGTGGAAAGGTAGTAATCTGAAATCTTTCAGCAGCCTCAGCCCAGAAGCCAGCCAGTGCACTCTCAGGAAGCGCATGGTGTGACAGCAAAGATCATGTTTACCAGAGAGAATGAGGATTTATTTCATGGGCACATGCAACGACCCCGAGCTGTGTGGTGGGGGACACGTGGGAGGGCAGGGATGGCATCCCGAGGGACCTGGGCAGGCTGGAGAGGGGGGCCCGGGCAAACCTCCTGGGGTTCAACAAGGCCAAGGGCAAGGTCCTGCCCGTGGGCCGGGGCAATCCCCAGCACAAACCCAGGCTGGGCCCTCGAGGAGTGGCTGGAGAGCAGCCCCAAGGAGAGGGACTGGGGGGGCTGGTGGGGGGAAAACTGCCCGTGAGGCAGCCCCGTGCGCTGGCAGCC